CCCAACAGAGAAGTAAAGTCCTTCAGTTCTGCAGAAAAGGACAGTGACGGGGTTCTTGGACTAAAATGCAGAATACAGAAACATGTGTTATTTGACTAATGAGAGGTAAACCAAAGGTGATGGTGTCCTTCCTCATGAGGTGAAATAAACTGCAGTAGACACTTACAATTGTGTATAAAGCATGATTTAGCTTTTCTTAAAGGCCCATACCATAATTTACATTTATAACTTTGATATACGGAAAAAACGTGTTGTTAAATCATGTTTAAAATGTGCATTAACTGAATACAGACCACTACTTTGTATGGTATGCAAAGCCATCACGGTTCAGTTTTGTGTATTTGAGAAATAATGATGATTGATGAAAAATAAAACATTCCTAGAATTATTTACACATTTTTTATTACGGAATTGTACGGATAAATATGCCAAACTTTTTCTAGTTATAACCTCTCAGATGTGATGATTGTATGCTTTCCCTTTGTCTTGTATGAGAATAAACTGAGAATCAGCTGTTTTTTTCATAATACAATACATATAGGCTACTAAATAGATTTCCTTTTTCTTCCTCGCTTTACACTTCATATTATTACCAGAATTGTCCAGGTACAATGTTTACATACACAGTATTTGAACAGTTTCCTTTTATTATTGTTTTCTCGTATTATTCTCTTTTTCATACTTAATGTACTGTCAGATTTTGCCTGTGAGGTTTGCTTTGAATTATAACATGTATTTCAGGATTACGACAGTTTAAAAAAAAAATGGTTTGCTAATAACATCAACATCACAGACACTTTCCCTCCATTTTGCAGTTTTTGTTGCATCCAAAAGTTACCATAACAATTATTTTGAGCAACTTTGATGTGTTGAGTGGACGTTAAACTTCACATTAAAAACGGGTCAAGGAATATATTAAAAAGTATAGGTATTTTTGTCATTATTAGCATATTATTATTAGTTCGCATGGAATATATATTTAAGATCTAGGATCGCAAGTAAAATATTTTTCAGGGACCACCAATTGTTAGCAGCTCCCCTGCTTTAGCAACCAAAAGAGCTGTATCTGTATTTACAAACAAGATTATATTCTTTCAGATTCAAATAGAGTTTGACTAAAATATAAATTCATTTTAAAACTAAGGATAAAAGCTCCATCAGTAAAGATGTTTAGAAGAGTTATGTGATTTGTCATTGTTGAAGTCAACTACTGTCCACAGACAGCGCTGCACTGCCCTCCAGTGGAGAGCTGCAGAACTGAACATCTGATTCATCTGAATTCAGGAGGACTTAGTTTATTCTATCGATACCAATTGTATCTTTTTGCTGGTTTCATGAATATGTTATAACCAACTTTCTCTTCACATATCATCAGCTTTGGAATGGAACTGAATACATTTACTAAAAAACTGGAAATTAGTTATATTTTGGGGTACTTTACTTGAGTATTTCAATCTCAAATTCAGATTCAAAACATGTACTTTCATACCTCAATACATGTATTCAATAACTTAGGTATTAGCTACTTTGTATAGCCAAATTCATAGGAAAATATAAAGCAACTTAAACATTTGGTTATTAGTTTGAGCAAAGATAAGGCTATGTTGAACCCTGTGAAATTAACAAACTAACAAAATAGTATATAAAGTCATTCAAAAATGATCTCTACCTTTTACTTCAACTGTTGTAAGGTAACCATATCATTTTTAACATATTTTAGTGTCAGAGCACTAACTGAACATATTTAGAGAACTTGCGCAAAAAAAGTTTTAACAAGGGTGTAATTATTTTTTGGAAAATATACTCAACCAATCGGTTGAATTGGCCCGTTATGGCAGATATGACTTCTTCAGAGTTTCATAGATGTTTTCCTATAAAATATGGTAAATAAATGGCTAGATTCATGGTAATATTACTAAATCTAGTACTGCCTTATGAGTCTCAGAGTGAAAGAGTGATAATAATTTATATAGCACCTTTCATACTAGTTGAACATTACATTTTCATATTTGTATGTGTTTTTTATTTATTTTTTGTATGTTTCTAGTTATTGTGCTTTTAATTATGTTTTTAATTATTGTTTTATTATTTTACCCCCATTGTGTTATTTAATATTGTAGTTATTGCCTGTACAGCACTTTGGTCAACTGAAGGTTGTTTTAAATGTGCTATATAAATAAATAAAGATTGAGATTGAGATTTCATGCATGGCATACAGCCCAAAGTTGCACACAGATGAGCAAGTTAGGCCAACACAGGATATAGACATTTGCTGTTAGGCCAGTGGTTTCTTGATAGGGCAATTCAGCAAATACAGTAAGATGAGCAAGTCTTTTTTTTATTATGAAAAACACTTTACATTACTTTTTTCCTTTTTTTAAAAAAATTATAATGTATTATCTTTTATTAATAAATCTGGTAGTATATATTGCTAATTTTCCATAAAAGAAACAAACTGTATTTCAGTTTGTGTTTTATTTGAGTGTGATGCATACAAATACTTTACTGTATGATGATTGTTGAAAATGCACTTTTACCATAAAAGGCCAGCTCGACCAGTTGGTAGAGGCTCATAAAAACAAAACTGTGTGGTCAGTAAAAAAAATTAAAATTGTTTGTGGTTATGTGTGGCCCATTTGGGGGATTGCTAATAATTAATAATAAAATCAGGATGAACAAGTTATTTTTTACTATTAGGAGATGACATCAATTTCAATGTATGTGTTTTTTGTTGTATCAAGTGTTTTACAACTGCAATTAAAAGTGGAGTAAACTAAGACTGCGTTTGTGCTCAGGAGCTAAAGCTCCTGCAGAGGCTGTTCACGGGACTGACCCACAGAGGGAGCCCTCGCTGAGGCCAGAGGAACCACTGCAGGATCTCCTGTACTCACAATTTATGAAGATTAAGATGTCAGGCGTCTGAGACAGAAAGCACAGGATCAGGAGTGTGTGTGTGTGTGTGTGTGTGTGTGTGTGTGTGTGTGTGTGTGTGCTCAAAGAGTATAAACTAATTTATTGACCTGTGTGAAGTATGGTGTGTGTGTGTGCGGTGTGCGTGTATGTGTGTGGTGTTGGTGTGTGTGTGTGTTGTGGTCACCGACACCGCTGGTTTCGCACGCAGCGGGCCACGGTTTCAATCGAATATGAAGTCCGACAATCGACTAGTGTGGAGAGGGAGGAGGAGGAGGTAGTGAATGGCCCGAGTAGTAGTCGCTACGTCGACTTCTCCGACGGCTCAAGATAGAACAACATCCGGTCTACATTCGTGATTACATGCCCGTTTCTTCGGAGAAGTAGATTCGACATGTGTGTGTGGTGTGTGTGTGTG